TTCATGTGAAATTTTTCACGTGAACTTTACAAAAAAAAAATAATTGGCATTTTTTATGATTTTAATTAAATTTGAAAATTTAGATGTTATTTGAATAACTTTATTTTAAAATCATGTGAATTTCACGTGAAAAAAAATTCACATGAATTTCACGTGAGATTCACATGAATTTAAATTCACTTCAAATTCATGTGAGTGAAATTTCCCTGTGTAGGCTGCTGCTGTATCGAAGTACGGAGTTTCTTGACATCAACAATTCCGTAATCATCAAGAACAAGACAATTGTAGAAAAATTTACAAATAGATAAGGCAAAATTATAGTAAAATATAAGCAGTTTGTAATTTAAATTGGATACATCTGGGAAACAAACATAATTTGAGGTAGATAAAGTGAGAAGATTCAAAGAGGTATTAAAAATCGTGAGACTAACTGACAAAAGTTGGATGACGAAAGACAACCAAAGGTCCACTTTACACTACACAGAAAACTAAAGATTGATCAACACGAACTCCACCTAATACATTGGGGATCTATATGGAAATCACCTTTTATGTCTGACAATATCCCGTTCAAATCGAGTTTATACACAGTTTGGCGGATTTAGAGGAAACCTATCCTTCACTTAAAGGAGACGTTTATCTGAAGTTTTCAAAATTGCCTTTTTCTACCGTGGACAAATCTTAAAGTATGAATGCTAGACTTGGTCATTCAAGACATTGTAAAATTAATCCACTTACTATTTTACCATCATTTCTATATTTAGCCATGGCAGCCATGTTGGTTGATTGGCAAGGAAAAAAACTTTATACTAGAAACTGTATTGATCATCCAGTTCATGTTTCCTTAATAAGCTCAGTGGTTTCAGAGATTTCTTTTTAATGTTTACAAGGACAGACATCAAAGTGATGGCAATAGCTCACATAGTCCATAAATTATCCGATATAGCAGGTTATACCAGACCAAGGACGTATAAATTATATATACCAGACACATGTGTTGTGTGGACTCAAATTGGAAGTTTCATATGGTCACTTTAGATGTTTTGAAAGTTATCATAAATTTAACATAAAGTGGAATATTTTGTGAGAAAATACTGTAACTACATTTTTCATTGTTTACTTTCCTATCAGTCTTCATATTACTCTTACCTAGGAGGATATCCTGTTTCATGAGAGGAAAAATAACCACCTAACTATGCAAATGTCATTGGCCAGGATTTTTCTCTTTATTTTATGTGGCCATATATGTAAGTATGCTCCCAGAAATATCATCTGGAAACCCCTTTCAACACTAAATTTTAGTCTAAACTTAGTATTACTAAGCATCTGTGAGCTTGATCTTGAACATGTTGACCCCATAATACATAGGTACCTTCCTCACATAATATATGACCACTTATTGAAGTTTTGTTCAAATTCTATCAAATGTTTATTTAGTCATTTGTCACCATCATCTAGAAAGCCCTCTTCTGCAATAACTCTGGTCTATTTTCTGTGTCTGTGACCTGGATGTGAAATAAATTGACCTCAAATTCTAAATTGATTTTCCAGTCATTATGTGTGATGAAGTGTCAAAGTTCCAATGCCAAGTAAGGTTCTCAAGTTTAAAAAAAACTGTCTGCTAGACTGACAGATTCAAAGGTCAAAACTATATTGAAGCTATCAGTTTCATTCAATAAATATAAAAGTGTACGAAAATGATGATGATGGTTTGTCGTTTAAAATCCAGTGACAAATATCACAAGCATATCAGGACAAGTACATGCTGTGATATATATATAAACCCTGCTTTGTACTAGACACTCGCACTGAGCCAGATTTTTAACATGTTTCACAAGGGAACAGTCTGCAGGAAAACTTGTATTTATACTTGGAAACTTTGGACATTAAGTAGACCAGTCTTTTGATCTGACTCCTAAATGATGTGTGCTTAGTGGAGAAGCAGCAAATACCAGTTTTGAAGTCTTTGGTTTGACCTGACAAGGATTAAAACCAGGATCTCCTGTACTCAAGCAAGCAAGCTGCCAGGAGACCACCAAGGAGGCATAAAAGTGTACTATCAAAGCAATTCAATAAGATTCAATATTTTTTTATTACAAAAGGCACATAAGGCCAAATGTCTAGTATTCTTTAAAGATAATTAATCTATGTAATTATAACAAATAATTGAAGTCAGCATTATTTTTTTACAATACCCATCATCATTTTTAACATATATTTTGATAAACATGTAAAGCAAAACACCTCAGTCAAAGTCAAATTCTAACAATCGACGTACATTGAAAGCCTGAAAATACTGATTCTGGGAAAATTAATAAAAAAATTAATTTCTTCTATCAATTATACACTGATATCTTGTTAACATTGATTTTTTTTCAAAATTACAGTAGAGTGAATATTTTTGTTGGATTTAGATTTGCAACCTCTAGAGCCAAACATATTCAATTCAAAATTTGGGAAAAAATAACCTCTATGCAAAAATGTTCCACTCTACAGTAATTTGTTTATAATAAAACACTTCTATAATAATTCTTCAGATCTAAACCTAGGTACAATGTACTTTGATTAATAAATTCAGATAAAGGCATAATTATTAATTTAAGACCTAAAAACCCACATACCTTTAGTTCTCAATAGTTTAAACTAAATTACTATAAGTTTCAAATTATTAAGGATTTATCATTAAAAAATCACATAACAATTACCGTTTTATATGACTTTTGAGCTAGGTAAAATGATTACCTGCACAATTTTTATCTTGGTATTAAGCATAAAAAACATTTATTTCATAGAAAAATGGTCCCTTTCTTGCACTTTTTTTTTACTAAAGCACTGTACATAGACTTTACTAACTTCAAAATTTGAAAATTAGACCCAGTTTTGTCCTATAATGAAATGACACCATTTTAACTGGTGAATTCAATATTAACATAATTAAATTTCAATTTATGTCAAACAATTGTAATAATTCTAAATTAAAATACAGATAATAAATACAACAATATAAAAATGCAAAAATCCTATGATACTTGAAATCAACATTTTTTTTTGGGGTAGCCCAAAAAAATACCTGGACCAACAATATTAGAAGTGTTTGAATTCAAAATTAAGAACATAAAATATAAAATCCCCAGTCAGTTAATCAAATAACTCATTTGATGGTTTAAAAATATCAATTTTCTATCCTGCATTGAAATCTTCAAAAAATAAAAATAAATGCAAGTGTGTGAAATGTTATTTCTATTTTTTTCATGCAGAATTCAAGAATTATCCCTGCAAACAAAGGGAAAAGTATTTATCACGGATATCATTTCAATTTTTTAAAAGTAAATCCAAAGACCAAAAAGTCAATTTAAAGTGTTGCCTTAAAATGATGATTTAAACAGTGAGTGAAAATATGGAAAATGATTAATGAAAGGACTGAAATATGTACAAATTTAGTACAAATGTAAAAAAAAATAAAATATCAAATAATATTTATATACAGTAACAGATTTTCTATAATAATATTCTAAGAAGAATTGACTAGCTTTATAAATAAGTTATGTCATAGTGAAGGTAAGACTTATTTATAAAAAGGATAAATGAATAAAATGACAATGAAACATACCTCTCTGATAAGGCAGAAGAAAATATAGAGGCTAGGGGCGTAATGACTTTTTTCATGAAATTGAGATTGAGCAGTTCAATTCCCTGGAATTTAGGAAAAGCCAATTAAATTGTTGTGAATTTGATATTTAATATATAATTTGTGAAACTGACACATTATTTTCACTGGAATTGGGGAATTTGGCATTTTTTTCAGGAATTCTGAGCATTGTTTAAAAGTACACACCCATGGGAGACACCCTTACTCTATACAGAAAGTATATGTCAGATTTAATAAATGTGCAAAAACTATATTCAAATATGAAATGGCTGGAATGTTTTCTGAAGAAAAGAGTCAATAAATGAGCGACCATATAAAAATTCTTGTAAATTTTGTAAATGGACGGAATAAAAGTATAAAATAAAATGAAATAATATAAAAAAACAATAATTGTATGAATTCATATGTTCCCAATAAAAATAAATGGACGGATTTCAATAAACAAAAATATACAATACCCATTTATATATAGTCACAATCTTAATAAAATAAGTTCACATCACTTGCTCCTCGATTTTTTATATGTCGCCGTGTGTCACAAGGCGACATATAAAAAATCGAGGAGCAAGTGATGTGAACTTATTTTAATAAGATTGATATAGTCATAAATTTACATTTACACCAGTAAATTAAGTCATATCTAAACAATACATTGTCAACTTAACAATGAGCACCTCATGATGTCCTGCTTACAATCTACACACCTGGCATTTTTAAAATTTTTGTTTTAAAAATAATTTTGACAAAAGTAAAGACATTTCATTAACTGATGACAAAAACATGATAACAGTTTACATTGTATCTGTTTTAGCGTGTTATTGTATTTCTATCAATTTTTTTTTATCTATATTTCTTTATAACCATTTTTATGACAAAAATTATTGAGAAAGTTGAGCAGTCAAAAATTGATCTATCAAAGAGCTATTGAAATATTTTAAGAACAGTTTGTATTTTGAAAACTAAATATGATCGTAAAAAAACAAGATATATTGACAATGTAAAGTAGTCATATCTTAGAATTCTGGTCAAGGGGTGAACAATATGTATGGATTGTATTCCTAATGAACAGGAAAAGATGGGTATTGGTTAGTTCCTGCCTTATTTGCATCAAATTCTGAAGAAGGGGAAGTAACTCACCTTTTGTATCTGCCAATGGATTTGAACATATGCAATAATCTTTCATGAGTTATCCCCGTTTACCCCCCCCCCCCCCCCCCCCCCACCCATCACCCCAAAAACACAAATAAATTAAAATAAATGGTATTTTCTCAGTGATTAGCACTTAAAAATGAATAGAAAGTAATATACTGCATCTTTATATAAATCAGCTCGTAATACTGTTAATTCAGAAATTATTGCTAGGTTTTTATTATTGCGAGTAATGCGACTGGATGAGTAATTCTGGTATCTGACATATATATTTGTATGCAGCTTTTCCTGTAATCACAATAATTATTCTTGCATTTTGGTCTGTCATGGCGAAATAGCAATAATAAATGCAGGCAATAATTTCTGAATCTAATATTAATAAAATTTACATTGATATCACAAGTCCTAATTTGTCATTAAATATTACATACAACAATCGATTTATACATCTAACAATTATGGTATAAAATTATATTGATTCCATTTTATAACAATATATCACAGAAGCTTGTTATATCACAAAATAATTTCCCTTGGATTTCATGAAAACCTATTATTCTGTGGTATTGGAGATTCATAAATCATCTTATTTGGTCCCTCAATTCTTTATAAAAAACATAAAATCTGTATCTCTAAGAAAAATATTTTTGTGCCTGTGCCAACACTTTTCTTTTTTCTGTAGTTTTTCATGAAATCCTAAAATACATCAATGATGTCCCTAAGGAATGTGGTAATATATTCTTATGTCCTTCAGGAATGTGGTAATATATTCATATGTCCTTTAGGAATGTGGTAATATATTCTTATCTTCTACAGTTTCAGAGAAATCTTTAATACTGTATAGCTAGAAAAATTGTCCATGTCTGTGCGATGACTGAAACTCTATATCATGAAAATCTTCATACACTGGTTTTAATGAAAACTTTAATTCTGTAGGACAACTGTGATAATTCCAGTGCCCTCTATATTGAAATCCATTAGATCTGCACCATAAATAATTGAAGCAACATTCTATTCTAACAACAAAAACTAAACAATTTCTTCACCATCTGGGACACAATGTCCTCTTCTCAAGAAAACCTAAAATTCTGAATCGTTGGTGACATTTTTCTCTGTCCTGCCGAGTTCCTTTTATGTTGAATTGGATGGTGGCCTCTGAAACCTCCAGCCTGTAAAAGCAAAATGCTGACATAAAATAGTGATTTTTGGCAAATATTTTCAATATCAAATTCATCATTATAATTTGACTGTTCATAAAAATCAAACATCATACAAATTTTCCAAATTTATCATAATTCAGTTCTTAACTTAATTTCAAAATGTTACAATTGTTATCAGAATGATGCCTCTCTGTTTTACATAAATATTCAGTCTAGAAAGTATATATCTCATTTTCAAATTTGGTAAAAAAAAAAAGAAGAAAACTTGATAGTAAAATTAAAAAAAAAATGATAGTTAATGGCAACGAGACAGAAATGTGATACAAATTTCAATTAACCTTCAGTGCATTAAAATTTGAAAATTGATCAATAAGAACTGTAATAGCTATAAAAGGCATGCACATAAAGAAAGATAACTCTGTAAGACTAATAATTTAATGTGCACTTGTATAAAATCTCATCACAATGGAGTGGTTTTTTAAAGTCCTTGGAAAATCATTTCTTAATTAGTTGGTTTAGGGGGTATATAACACATATGGGATTTTGAAATCAATCCCCTCATTAACATAGAGTAAAAGTTTCTAAAGCAACTAACTTTGCTTTCACTATCAAATATTTTTGGGTGAATACATGTTACTCTTAAAAAGTCACTAGCAGGTTTGTGACAACCATTTTCATCAATTTATTCTAAGCTTCTAAGTTACACAGATTATTTTAAAACTGTTTCATAGGAAATACTTTAAAACAACTAACACATTACTTTTTTTTAAGTGTTATCTCCCTTTAACCAATTCTTCTGCTTGAAAATTGCAAATGGAAATTAACTCATGCCCAACAAGGAATAAAACCAATATAACATTGTAACTCTACACATAAAATTACCATGCATTTATTTAATAAACATTGTACCTAAAAACATGCACCACTCAACAATGTAACACAACACACTTTATACCTAGCCAAAATGTTACGGTGAATACAACCTTACAATTTTACTTTCTCCTGTGTCTCTGTTCAGGTTATGAGAAAAAAGATTACAGTGTTAAATTAAGATCTCGACCAGTGAAAATAATAGTTGGAAATACTTTTTTTCTACTAGCAAAGGTACACTTGAAAGGATCAGATATAGTGTATTTGTAGGCAAGACATACTAAAATATGAATGCATAAAATATTTTTAAAATATTACTTTTTTGACAAATAGATGATATGGTTAAATTATTTCAAAATTGCCTTACCTAAATCAAATGATTTTAACATGTAAATAAAATATCCTGAAATTCTTTTGGAGTAAATATCAAAAGCAAAATATATTATCCAAAACTGCATTTTTACCTTGCACATTAAACAAAAGCTGTACTAGAATGTGCAAAGTCAATCTTATTTACCTGTGTTAATAGCACTTTAGGTCTTTGATGAAAAAACAACATTTCATTTTATTCCAAATAAGGGAACAACAAATATTATAAATACAATTTTTAATAAACTGTTGACACAGAGATATGTCTTGCCTGTCGGCATAGAGTTCAGAAAAAAGACAATCTGATAGACAGCAACATTGCTTATTAACTCAAAGTCACTGGACCATGATCTTGTGTGTAGGTTCTAGAAATGGTCGATAAACTGAGATGTATAGACAGTAATACAACTGTATAGAAAATATCCTTGTCTATTGTAAGTAGTTACTATCAATCTTACTTAAGCAGAAAACTTAACATTGAAAAATTGCTAATTATTCAAAGTCACTGGACCATGTCCTTGGGGCAGGGCCTCAAAATAGTCGTCTAACTGATATGTTCTGATAGTAATGCAACTTTATATCAAATATCAATGATCTATCACATGAAGTTCTTGTCAAACTAACTTAGGCAGAAAACTTAACAATTGTTGATGCCGTCGCCGAAACCGTCGTTGGAAAAGCAATCCCTATGTCTCGCTTTCCACGGCTTTTGTCGCAGGCGAGTCAAAAACAGACCTTCATAGAAATAAAAAAAAAAATCTACTGTGAATTGGATCCATAAAAAATCAATTTTTATTGACTAAATTTGACTTTGAGTACTTTTGTAGCTTGATGATGAATTAGAACTAAGACCTGTTTATTATAGGATCACATAGGTCTACAAGTTGACATATTTTGGTATTTTGCATATATTCTGAATTAGAATTATTGACACTGAGATTTACTTATTTGCTTTGTCAAAAACATGAAACCTAACATGGATATTCCTTTAAAATAATCTGATTAAAATAGGGATCCTGTGTTCAAGCTTCACTTACAAATATCTGACAATGCTCTGTTCTACTTCCAGTTTTAAATGACCTTTCAGGATCCCCCTTTTTTCTTAATGATACATATCTTAAAAATATTTGGAGGCAGAAATTTCATTGGTTGATTTTATAGTTTTTAGAACAGAAAGTATAGCCGAGAGTTTTCAGATCCTTGTAAGCAAAGCATCTGTATATTGTAAGATTGCCTTTTATAGTACATATAAAACTTTATGTGGTCAGGCAAAGTTGGCATTAGATTAATTTGGCTATTCTGTTTAGGTCCTTTTTGGCCATATTGCCCAAAAGTTTCTATATATTTATACATCCCTTGGCTTTTAAATGTTTAGGTTTAAGAATTTCGAATGAAGGTACATGTAAATCTAGAAAAGATCTTAAATTGGTCTTTAACAATTTATAAAATGTTACTATCACTTCATAAAAATATTTACATTCAACAATGCAGTACCTCAAATTTAATATTGAATGAAAATCAAAATTACAGACCTCAGAATATTCATGCGATTGAGATATACGTATTCAAATCTTAATAGACTCAATTTCCAGATATCAATTGTCTTTGCAAGTACTGGTACTACAAATACATGTCTAATCATAAATACTTAAAACATTTAAACAATCTTAAAATTCAATAGTCAATGAATCATGATAATACCTGTATATGTATACTTTTTTTTCACATCCAAAAGTGAGTATAACAGATGTTAGCAAGGTTACAGAATATGTGCAATTAAACAGTGGTTAAGTTAGGGATTATGATGGTTTGCCAGATATAAAGTTCAAGATTATAATACTGACTATTGATGAAGTTAGGGATTATGATACTACAGATATGAAGCTCAGGATTATGGTTTAACAGATATGAAGTTCAGGATTATAATACTGACTATTGATAAAATTAAGGATTATGATTGAGTTAAGGGTTGATGGCTACACATATATACCCAAACAGAACATAAATCTTACATTAGTGTTCAGATTGTACATTGTGTATGCAGTTGAATAATTTGGTGGCTGTAAAAAATAAATTGATGATACAAATAATAAAAAATATTTTTCTTCTGGATCTGTTGTAATTACAAGCTTGGAAAGAATTTGTGGAAACTGACAAAAAAGATTCTAAAAAGTCCATTAATACAATGCAAACAAACTGACTTTAACTACAGTAAAAACAATGCAAGACAGTTTGTCTATAAAACTTGTAAAAAATGCTAAAACATTTAAACTTGAAAAATCAGAAAAAACTAATACATCAAAACCATGTTTATAACTTCAAATTTAGTTAATTAATTCTGATGGTAAACTGCAAGGAAAAAAATCTAAAACAACATTTTAAAGCCTAAACGTTAAAGAGTATATTATTCTGTTACTTATATATTATGAATGTCATACTTGTGGGTTACTGAAGTTTTCATGCAAAAACATGCATTTGATCCTATAGATTACTTACATGTACATAATGGTGAGGTACCGTTTGTTGTACTGGCTGAGGGGGAGGGGCTTGTTGAGGTAGAGGTCCTGGAAACTCAGATACTGAAATATATAACAATATATAGACTGACTTTATATCAATGGCCATTTTTGAAGAGGTTACCTCCTCTTTTCCATACAGAAGATATGACATCAATTATTTTTACCTTTAATCCAATAATTTATGTTAACTTAATGTTCTGATTATTTTTGTCTTTTTATTTTTTCATTTATTTTATGTTTAAAGACAAGCACAAGATATACTAATTTATTTTATGTTTAAAGACAAGCACAAGGTATACCACTTCAATGTCCACTAAAGGTCATCCCACCGTCATGAACTTATAGTTTGAAAGATTGGTGTGCTTTTACCTAACAATTACAATATCCTTCAGAACTTACTTTTTAACTGTTCATTTAGTTTGTCCAGTGATTCTAGTAACCTTCTCTCTTCTATAGACAAAGCTGATGGTACTGAAAAAATAATAAAAATCAATTTAAAATGTGTTATACCAATATCAGTACACAGACCATATATAATGATCCCTGTATAACTGACTGTCAGAAGGGTACCAGTTTTCATGGATTATGTACTAGTAAACTCCAACTATGAAACTTGGTCCTCAATGAAATACATATTTTTTGCTGAATCTATACATTATGTTCATTTTTAACCACAGAATTCAATCCCCACAAACATTGTACATGATGTAGGAGTTGGCATGTTAACACTTATTGGTTTAGGTATATTTACCATTAGGAGCAGGCATGATAGCACTTATTGGTTAAGGTATATTTACCATTAGGAGCTGGCATGTAAACACTTATTGGTTAAGGTATATTTACCATTAGGAGCAGGCATGATAGCACTTATTGATTAAGGTATATTTACCATTAGGAGCAGGCATGTTAACACTTATTGGTTAAGATATATTTACCATTAGGAGCAGGCATGATAGCACTTATTGATTAAGGTATATTTACCATTAGGAGCAGGCATGATAGCACTTATTGATTAAGGTATATTTACCATTAGGAGCAGGCATGTTAACACTTATTGGTTAAGATATATTTACCATTAGGAGCTGGCATGTTAACACTTATTGGTTAAGGTATATTTACCATTAGGAGCAGGCATGATAGCACTTATTGATTAAGGTATATTTACCAGTAGGAGCAGGCATGATAGCACTTATTGATTAAGGTATATTTACCATTAGGAGCAGGCATGTTAGCACTTATTGGCTAAGGTATATTTACCATTAGGAGCTGGCATGTTAACACTTATTGGTTAAGGTATATTTACCATTAGGAGTAGGCATGTTAACACTTATTGGTTTAGGTATATTTACCATTAGGAGCTGGCATGATAGCACTTATTGGTTAAGGTATATTTACCATTAGGAGTAGGCATGATAGCACTTATTGATTAAGGTATATTTACCATTAGGAGCAGGCATGTTAGCACTTATTGGTTAAGGTATATTTACCATTAGGAGTTGGCATGTTAACACTTATTGGTTAAGATATATTTACCATTAGGAGCAGGCATGTTAGCACTTATTGGTTAAGGTATATTTACCATTAGGAGCAGGCATGTAAACACTTATTTGTTAAGGTATATTTACCATTAGGAGCAGGCATGTTAACACTTATTGGTTAAGATATATTTACCATTAGGAGTAGGTTTGTTAACACTTATTGGTTAAGATATATTTACCATTAGGAGCAGGCATGATAGCACTTATTGGTTAAGGTATATTTACCATTAGGAGTTGGCATGTTAACACTTATTGGTTAAGATATATTTACCATTAGGAGCAGGCATGTTAGCACTTATTGGTTAAGGTATATTTACCATTAGGAGTAGGCATGTTAACACTTATTTGTTAAGGTATATTTACCATTAGGAGCAGGCATGTTAACACTTATTGGTTAAGATATATTTACCATTAGGAGTAGGTTTGTTAACACTTATTGGTTAAGATATATTTACCATTAGGAGCTGGCATGTTAACACTTATTGGTTAAGATATATTTACCATTAGGAGCAGGCATGATAGCACTTATTGGTTAAGATATATTTACCATTAGGAGCAGGCATGTTAACACTTATTGGTTAAGATATATTTACCATTAGGAGTAGGTTTGTTAACACTTATTGGTTAAGATATATTTACCATTAGGAGTAGGTTTGTTAACACTTATTGGTTAAGATATATTTACCATTAGGAATAGGTCTGTTTTATTGTTTAAATTAGGCCATTATTTTTCTCGTTTGAATTGTTTCACATTTTTATGTCAAGGCCTTTTATAGCTGACTATACAGTATGGGTTTATTTCATTTTTGAAGGTAACCTATAGTTGCTTTGATCTTCCTCCTTTGAACTCTGGAGGATAGTTGTCTCATTGGCATTTATACCACATCTAATTTTTATACTGTTAACACTTGTTGTGCAAGGTATAATTACCATTAGCAGCAGGTCTGTTAACACTTATTGGTTAAGGTATATTTACCATTAGGAGTAGGTCTGTTTTACTGGTTATATTAGGCCGTTAGTTTTCTCGTATGAATTGTTTCACATTTTTATGTAGAGGCCTTTTATAGCTGACTATATGGGGTTTTCTCATTTTTGAAGGTAACCTATAGTTGCTTTGATCTTCCTCCTTTCAACTCTGGAGGATAGTTTTCTCATTGGCATTTATACCACATCTCCTTATTTTTATATATACTGTTAACACTTGTTGTGAATGGTATATTACCATTAGGAGCAGGCCTGTTAGCACTGACTGGATTACTCTGTACATCGTTCATGGCATGGTGTATCTGACTCTCAGACATGGACTGCTGGGCTAACTGTTCAGCCATCAAAAAAGCAGTCATACTGTCAGCAGCTAAAACATCAAAGTCATTCAGTTTACATTTGTCATACAGTATACACGAAAATACAGTTTTTCCTTAATCCATAAAAAGTTGTATCAAGGGAAAAAAATGAATCTACAGTAAGTTCATTCAGTATACGTAGGTCATTGCATAACATTTAATGAATGAACATGTTGGACAAAGAAAGTTACTGTTCAGATTCCTACCGAAAACTTCCAGGCTTATTTGCCAGTTTTATATCAAGCATGCATTGATTTCTATTGTATAAATATAGTCAAATCTGATAGTCACCTAAAAAAATAAGGCTCTCATTAAAGTCTATCCAAGAAATTAGTAATTTAGATAACAAGTAACTAATAAGTGTCTCTTTTCCTTCTAAGACAACATTTTTTATGTTAGGAACTCACAGGTTTAATTCTTCATTTGAGACGTCTTATTTTTTACTGGATATTCATCTCTTTATGTCATGTTTGTGCAAAATAAATTTTAAAAAGAACAAAGCTGGCCTGGAAAGTTATAGTATATTTATTAGCTGAAGGTTTAGTTCAAATCTTTTTAAAATAACATTGAAAGAAATGAAAGTTTATCTTTCAAAAACTTCTGCACATTTTATCATGCTGTATTAACTAATAAACTGCCTCGCTGAGCGCAGCTGTATACGCCCGCAGTGGTCCAACCCTGAACAGTTGGGACAAAAATGGACACAATATTCAAGCTTGATACAGGTCTGAATTTGGATTGTAATTAAATATTTGACATATTATAGGTTTCTGAATAAATGTAGTCAAAGAACTTGAAATTGGTTATATGAATTGTTGTGCAATACACTGTGCTGTTGTGCAATACACTGTGCTGTTGTGCAATACTTAGTAAATCTGTTGTCAGACTATAAACAAATAAAGTTCAATTAATTCTCAATGTCATATTAGAAATTTATGAAAATGTAAAGGGAGCTTACCTCAATAGATATAAACAATTCACCAAAGTTTCATGAGAATTGCTGACAGCATTTTTGAGTTATTGTCCGAAAACTGGAAAATCCACCCTTTTTTAATGAATAAAATCCCATAACTCAGAAATGATAAATGAAAAATTTATAAAATTCTAAACGGAGCTTACATCAATAGATATAAACAATTCACCAAAGTTTCATAAGAACTGCTGAAGTTATTGTCCGAAAACTGGAAAATCCCCCCTTTTTTAATGAATAAAACCCCATAACTCAGAAATGATAAATGAAAAATTTCTAAAATTCCAAACGGAGCTTACATCAATAGGTATAAACAATTCACCAAAGTTTCATAAGAATTGCTGACAGCATTTTTGAGTTATTGTCGGAAAACTGGAAAATCCCCGTTTTTTTAATGAATAAAACCCCATAACTCGGAAACGTAAAATCTAAAATTTATAAAAAACGAAAGGGAGCTCACGTCAATAGATATAAACAATTCACCAAAGTTTTATGCAAATTGGTGAAAGCGTTTTTGAGTTAATGTCCGACATGTTGATGACGGACGGACAGACGGGCGGACGGACAACGGTATACCATAATACGTCCCGTAAACGGGCGTATAAAAACTCTAGAAAAACTATTTTGTGCTTATGATGTAATGGAAAAATCAGCAACTTATGCAAAAAATACCTACCGGTATATGAACTAATATCATTAATTTTTTTAAGAAAACACTTTGTGAAATTCTTTTGTAAGTTCAAACCCCTATTGTGACAAAGTGTCTTCGACTCAAGAGCTTAATTGACTAGGATTGCTTGTTTTCCTGCTGAAGATCATGGTTCCCTTTTGGTACTTTGGCTTCCACCACCAATTACAAATCTTGCTGCGAAGTATGCTTAAAATGTTTTAAACACCAAAATTCAAACAATCAGTCTTTGTGAAAACATTGTGGACTGTCTCCTACTTACTGTCTTGTCGAGGTTGAAACTGTGGGTTTCCTTGTTGTGGTTCCTGATTACTTGACATAGGACTATGGTAGGTAATCATCTCCCTTTGTTGTTGGTTATTTTTACCCAGACTGTTAGGGTTCTGTTGTTTCTGTCTCTGTAACAGACCATATCTTCTTTGATAGCCATTTGGATCAACACTTTTCCTACCTGATGTTGTAGGATTAGTAGTGTTGTAACTAGAAACACGAGTTTGATTGGCTATTTGTCCAAGAGCAGCCCCATCAATAATTGTATGCGAAACGTGTGCTGCCTGCCGTGAAACAGGCTGGTCAAAGAACGGTGGTTTGACAGGATCAGATGTAGGACTGTTAGCAGGTGCTGGTGTCCTATGTAAACACGTTCTTACTTTGTCCCATAAGAAATTGATCTCGTCATCTGTGGGGGTCCTATCAATTCTCATACCATTCTCGTCGTAAACTGGTCCTTCTTGATAAATGCCATTTGTTAATCCTTGTGCTGGTGTTGACCCACTCATCATTGGCTGCTGATAGTAACCGTTTGGAGTAACTTCGTGTTTCTGAGATGACACCACTGTTGACGATACAGGGTAATTCGTTGCTGATACAGCATAATTCAATCTAGCACCTGGTACAGTGTACATAGTAATTTCAGATGATACCGGCTGAAATTGTGATACCAAGCTCTTGGCTACACTTGATACTGGTACTTTCGACATAAAGTTGTTATTCACAACTGATGTTCGTTTTTCTGGTTGGCTATTTTCCTTCAAAGTATTATGGGTAATAATATGAGCAGCGGCTTGTGGACGTATTGTTGATTTGTGTTTCTGAGAAAGCACTGATGCACTCCCAACCCTCCCTTGGGATTTGTGTGTGGTTTCTGTTTCAGTTGTTTGTAAATTTGGTTTTGCAGAAAATGGCCTCTTCTTTGGAGTAATTTTTACTAAAAAACAGAAAGAATGTATAATCAATAAATATTAATATAATTCTTCTTCAGAAAGCTATTACTAGGATGAGGTTATAATGTTTATTAGCGTTCCCATTCTTTTTCTAGTTTTCAATTTTGTATGGAAACTCTTGTTTGTAGTTAAAACAGAAGTTTCCATGTGAGTTTTCATATGTTAAGGAAATGATACTCTCTTTAGCTGCACCTAAAATACTTTGTGTAAAGTAAGGGTTTACACGGAAATTATAAAATTTTTAAAATGTTGCAAGTTTTGATTTTTAAGATCTGTATTTTTACAACTAACGTCTCTTCAGTAATGCTCAATGCATGAATAAATCAAAACCTAAACCAAATATTGAAGAGCTGTTACAAAAATATCATTATATTTTGTTCATCTAGTATATATTTGTTAAAAAAATTTCCATTTTTGTCATAGATTTGTTATTTTGATTATTGTTACTTTATAAGATCATTTACTCTTCTTAGACATGTTAAGTCATTTTCTATTTTTTTTTTATTTAATTCAAATACCCGAAATGCGTTTAGTGAATAGTTTATCTTCCTCCTCCTCTGTTTCTTCCTCTACCCCGTCAGAGTATTCCACACCAGCAAATCTAACACTCTTCTTCTTTGGCTACAATACAGAATATTAAAATCAGATATGTATTCAACCCAATACAACGAAAGCACAATTGGCAATGAATGTATCACAGTTGTCAGTATAGAACAATAACAGAATATTATAACAATAACTGTTTATAGTTATCAAAGGTATATAACACTTCTTTTGAAATTTTTGAATCCTGGCCTGTCTCTAAGAGCTAGGTAGACAATGGTGGAGGAAGCCATAGTGCCCACAGAGAACCACAAACCTTCAGCAGGAAAACTGGGAATCCTTTTTCTAATGAGTATTTTTTATAATTTAAATTAATTACTTGAAAAAATGGCATGTAACTGCCAAATTACTTTTAAAATACATTTTAATATACATCTATGTTAGTAGTATTTAGTATACTATTTTATTTATGTTTTCAATCAAATCATAACGAATGCACAAAAATTCTTGTTGAAGGCTCATTTTACCTACAAGTTGGTGTTGTTCTCACAGATCTCATTTTCAAGAACATGACTAATACATATATGTTTTTGATAGTTTAATTTGAGAAAGATCATATGTTCAATTCCCATTTCATATAATTGAAGTGATCAATTCTAAGTTTGAACTCTAAAAATGAAACATCTCTAACTTTGATGGTCGTAGGGATGAAAAACTGGAGTTGTATCTTCTATTGCATTAGAGAAAATAGATGGGATAAGAAATAACATGGACGAGAATCTAAAATATCTGCCAAAGCATTCTTCAGTTAGAGCATAACTTGCATGTAGTTACAAGGGATTTATTTTAAATCAACATGTTCAACTAGACTCAGTTGTCTCATTGGCAATCATACTTCATCTCTTTATTTTTATAGTTATGCAGCAAAAAAATCTAAAATCCTCCCATTATCATAAATACTATACAAACCTTAGTTTGTTTATCTTTTTCTTGAAGCATCTGTGATTTGGCCACCTCTAAACTGTCCTTAATGTTCATACTTCCAGTTGACCCTGCCCTTTTTATAGTTCCAGACGTTGGGAGTTTACAGGTAGCAGGTCTTTTTAGTATACTTTTCACAACTCCAGATTCCATTTCTTTTAATTTTGCCTTTGAGACCGTTTCTAATTCACTATCATCTTTTGATTTCTGTGGTGGAGCATACGACACTTGCTTAGCTGTCGCCTGCTGCGGTTGTCCTACAGCTTGTCGTACAGGCATGACAGGTTTGTCGGGTAAAACTGTTAATTTACCTCCAGGAAGCAACTGCAGTTTTGGTGTGTTTTCATTAATTTGGTTTGTTTGTTTTGGTTTATTTTCCTTATTATCCACTTTTGAAACCGACAAAACCACAATTGGTTGCGATACTGGTGTAGATGTTGTCTTAGCATTTACTATTGTCTGATTTATAGTGCTTGGAGGAGTCATTGATGGAGCACTTGGAACAGCAATTTGTTTACTTGGAATAACTTTCTTTACAACAGTGACTGGCCGTGGAACACGGCTAGGTGGAGGCTCTTTAGGAACAGTTGTATTTGAACCAGAAGAAGGCTCTCTCTGGATTTTACCATTTATATTATTTTCATAAAGGTCACTTCTATCACTACCAAAACCATTAGTTACAGTTTCTAAAAATTCCATATTTTTACTTGGTTGTGTTGTTCTGCCTTCATTTTGTTTTTTAAAGACCATAACTTGTGGATGAGGCAGTCCTGGTCCATTTGTCATAATAGAGGTATCTGGTTCCCCATTTGTATTTATATTACTTTGAGCATACTGTTGCCCTGCATTACTGGTACCTCTGGCATAGGCAGTTGTAGTGGTAACAGTTGTCATCGTATTTCGTTGTGTATATAAACTAGCATTTGTAGCCATTCTCTGAGAGTTCTGGGAGACTATTTCCTGTTGTGGCTGTCTATGGCTTGAATCAACAGGAGAGGGTGTGGCCCATGCTCGTAGCTGTACTTTTGGACGATCGGCAGCTGTTTTTGCCTTTATTACATTATTAACTCCGTTCTGGCTTACATCATAAGAATCAATCCTACCATTAGCTTGGTAGCCAGAAAATCTGTCATTTTTACTGTTTTCATACTGATCACTTTCTAGCTGATTTTGTATATTTTGACAATTTATTTGCGGCACAACAATATTTACAGGAGAACGTCCAACAGCCTGATGACCATTAATATAACTAAGGTCATTTTTTGTACTATATCTATTTATAAACTCTTGATCCCTGTTGGCCTCACTTTGATTTTGATTATATGTTAAATCACGATTCTGTCTTATAGAATCTTCAGAATCCTCCAGACTATCAAGACTATCTAGACTTTGCGACTGAGGTAAATTCTGGTGCCCGTATTCCACATCAACTCCCTGCACACTTCTGTCGCTAGCAATCTCATTTTTAATTGCATCATTGAATTCATTTAATGTCCTTTGTTGCTGTTCCACAAGAAGTTGTTGATGCTGTTCCAGTTGCTGTTCGAACAAATTTCGGCTACTGTTCAAGTTCCGTAAACTATTATTATGAAGGTAATTTGCATTGCTGTTGTCATTTTGTTTCTCTGGTGTGTGATGATATGACCCTGAGTATTTATTAACATACGGTTTATTCAGAGGATCGGTACTAAACAGCTGGGTGCTGTAGGGTGATGTCTGATGTTTAGCACTATGTCTCCCTGACGATGACCCTCTGACTAACTTTAAAGTATCTTCCAAGGTTCTCTGTGTAAATTTTGGAGATCTTTTACCTGAAAAACAAATAAAACAACTCTGTTACAAATGATGATTATAACAGGATTATATATACTATATTGTATTCATTGAGAATTGTTGTGTTTCTTTTTACCACTTTCACAAAAAATTGAAGATTTGGGATTATAATTTTAAATTGCAAATTTATTTAAAAAAAGATCATATTGATTTTCGAGCTTGATGAAACATGTCACAGTTGTATTGAAATTAACATGGATGCTGTGATGATCAATAATTACATGTTACTACATTAATACATGCATTTTATGAAACACTTCAATGCATATATTGCCAGCATGTCACCATCACCATGCAGACCATGAGAGACTTTGTAATTAAATAAGCTGTAATAATATATCATGTTTATGCTCTGCCACAAATTTTATACATTGAAAAATGCATTTGAAAACATACATTGTAAGCATTTACACAATTAAAACAATAACTTTCCCATCAAATTACATCTAACTCTCTATCCATTTAACCATAACTTTCATCTTTTAAGCTTATTCAATTATTGGTTGAGGGACTTCAAAGTTTTTTTGAATATTTAACAGAATATGATCAAAAAGATCTATCTGCCTCTTAAATCTAGTTTCCACTTTAGTTTTCCTAACATGTTGGAGCATTTAATGTTGAAGAAGAGTTCTGTATAATTTTTAATGGTCTTAGTTAATTTGCGCTGTTTTATGTCAATATCACATCCAAAATTATAATTGTGTTAACCAAGTTTCATGACAGAGTTGAGTCAAATTTTAATTTTAATAAGACACTTGTTGGGTATAGTACCATAATTATTATAATTCAGTGAAACAGCTTGCTTCTGGTGATCTTTTAATCTTCCTCAATCTAATTAAAATTAAATTCTTCAACTGCTTCCTTTCTGATATGATGGGCAACATATCTGAATGGGGGCAATTAACAGATCTAATTTTAATTAGATTGAATTTTCAACAGATTCACCCAAAATTAAACACAGAAAATTTGTTTAAAAATTTGATACTTTTATAAATCGTCTCTAATATTCATAAATAACAAAATAAAACTGCCCAATGCAAGAAAATCAGTTAACACCTCTACAAGTTTGGATGTGACATAAAAGAAGTGACGTAAAGAAGTACCATGGGCTTATAATAACAAATATAACAATTAGATCACAATCCAATCTTACATGCAATTTCAATTTGAAAATCAATCAAATATGGGATGCTAAGGTACACTATAATTTTTTCTGTGGTTTTAAAGGTCCATCAATTATCAAAGTAATAATTATATAACAGTTTTTCTTATCTGATGAAAAATGCCTTATTAAAGGAAGTATGGAGGTGATAGATAGTTGTGATGTTTAATACACAGCAATGTATATGTTTTTTTAGGCCATCATATATACATGCATCAGAATATAATGTCAAGGTTTTATTTGAAATGTGCAACTACTGAAGCAGGAATCAAATTCATTAAATTCATTAAAAGACTTTTCTATTAGATGAATAAGATGATGTGATTTTTTCTTATTATAATGACGTTTTACAAATACAAGATTTTCAAAAATGTTTAAATTCTGCCTAAAAAGGAGAGAAAATTCAGATATAAATTTAATACAATAGTCAATAAAGAATGTATGGTAATTTTTGTTTTAGTACAGCAGGAAAAAAATACTGTTAGCCCCCTTTTTTCTTTTTGACTTTCTAAATGCATTTCATAAAAGCTTTCTTACTAAATTCTGTTGCTGAGTTTTCTTTCTATTAACATAAAAATTCACCCTGTCTTATCTTACAAAATACATCAATCTTTTACAGCTGTAGCTTGAAAACAAGCTTGGTGTCAGACCTGTATTTTTTTTTTAATAGCAAGATTATAAACAACATTTGACAAAGAATAGGAGAAAACTGTCAATTTTTCTTTATGCCCCTATACTGCCTAAATACATAAATGAATGAAGATAAATTTCTATATTTTCTACATTTGTAAATTTGATTGGAAACTCTTGTCATTATCAAAAATTTTTTTTGCATGCATCCAAAAAGTCAATTATGAATTCCAAGAAGTTACGTCAAAATTAATTTGCTAATGACATACTGTGGATTCATTAATATTCGTGGGACACCAATATTTCGTGGATTGCTAGGGACACCAATATTTTGTGGATTTCGTGAGACACCAATATTTTAGTTGATTTTGTGGGACACCAATATTTCGTGGATTTCGTGAGACACCAATATTTTGTGGATTGCTAGGGACACCAATATTTCGTGGATTTCTTTGGACACAAATATTCCGTGGATTTCATGGGTATAGGTAAACCACTAATATATATATGTTCAACGAAGTGCCAATTATCTATAGGCTTGTGTGTAGACATTGACAAAACCACGAAATCAGCATGATCAAATATCCACAAATATATATTTTTTCCTTAATCCACAAAAATTGGTACCCAAGATAATAAATGAATTTACAGTAGGTGCTTATTTCTAATCTGGATTTAACCTTACCACTGTGACTACTATTGCTGTTTTTACTGGATGGACGACTACTTATATGCGATCGTTGAAATTTCTCAGTTGCCTGCCTTTGTTCTTCACTGCGCTTGTTTAAAATATTTTGTCTCCTTTTTTCTTCTCTTTGTGCTTCCAACTTTCTTTTAACTGCTTGTGCCCTATTAAATAAAGATCAATAAATTTAACTTCGCTACTAAAAGCAATATAAATATTCCATTAAAATAAAAAATTACATAATTTAGAAAGATTGTACTTTTAGCCCCCTCCCCCCTCCCCAGGTTGTTTTGTCTAGCTATATATATGAAAAAGAACAGACATTTATGCATCTTTAATGTACAGCAATGTACATTTTTTCAGTTGTAATCTTAACAAAAAAATCATACATGTTTACATAAAAATTTATCCATAAATTAAGTGTCAGAAGACAAGTTCAAAGTTGAATGGTCCATAATTGACAAGCAATTCTTTTGATCTTAAAGATTTCATGTGGATCATTGGCAACTCTGGCAATCAATAAGAACTGATTGTATTTGTTTGATTTAATTATTAATTACCCAGTGGAAATTTTGTTTCATGTCTGTTCAAATCAAGATATAAACAATTAAAAATAAAACATAAAATAAGGAAGTACATGTATGAGGGTCTAGGTGGTGTTTACAAAATAAAGAATAATGGATATAAAAAGTGCTGAATAAAGGGCAAAAATTTAAAGATTGAATTTATTCTTTATTCTGTAAACACCACCAAAACCCTCATACATGTACTTTCTTAAGGTGGTACCTAACACTACAGGGAGATAACTCTGTAAAAATCAGCTAAACGTTTTAATTACGTTGTATTGTTAAGGAAATATTAAGCTTCTCAATGATCAAAATTAGTGTTTGTCAAACTGCTATATAACCAATGAAATTTTTCTGATAAAGTGGTTGGTTCAAATTTTTTGAAATTTTTATATTTTTGTATAAGGGTCAAAGTAAACATTTGGTCAAAATTTTATGAATATTAAACGAGCCAAATTAATATTAGTCAAGGTGTTGGGTACCACCTTAAACATACGACATCCCCTTATTTTTATATCTATCCCCTCCTACATATTTTTAGTTGTTTGTACAAATCATAAAATAAATTATCACCATCTTCCTCTTTACATTTTTTCTTTAAGACTTGGTTATCTAAATCTTAATAAATGAACACTTTCGACTCTGACATGTTTTTAAAGTGTGTTGTCTAATTTATGAAACATGAACACGTTCTTCATAGATTTTTTATTAACACTGGGTTGTCTCAATTATTAAATAAATAAACACTCTAAACTCTTTCAAGTTAAAGGATGTGTTGTACATGTCTAACTTAATAAAAAATATAAAAAATGTGTTCATTTATTTCAAGATTCAGGGTTGTCTGAATCATTAAATAAATGAACACTTTCCTTTCATACAAAGTACATCTTTTAATACTTATCTAAATTTTAAACCTATACATCATGTCATTGCTGTCACAATATTACCATCTTATGCAAACAGTTTACTTTTATGGTCATAGCAATATAGGAACAGTGAAGTGTGAATTACTGTATAACCAAGGAAAAGACAAACTCTGGTCTATAAATACATGTAAACGGTTAGTACTTAATAAACTACTGGGGTCTACTTTATGTCAATGAATCGGGATAAGAAATGAGTAAAAGAGATATGGGGTAATTACACCAATATGACAGCAACCCAACTTTAATTCTTAAAAATACATTACTTCATAGAGAATTGAACATATATGCACATCAAAATGCAAAATAAAACCAAAGATTATGTAATTTCTAACTGGAGTTTAAGTTTCAAATCTGTAATTTTCATTTCCTTAATTTCACACTTTTCCTGCTTAGAATAATCTGATTAAGAGATTCAAACATCCAAGCATTTGACTGTATACTTCAAATTAAAGTTCAATACTATTTCAAAATGATTGATTGATTGGTGTTTGCTTTACACCACCTCATATTTCAAAATGAAGTACTCTTTTCACATCAGTCAACTCATTTATGACTTGCAAATTGTTATTTTTTTTTTCTAAGACTACAAACTTTAACAATGACTTTCAATAATATATATTGGATGTCCTATGTGCTAGAATCTATGTGTATTCAACTTGATTTTTAATAGGTCTAGGATTTTTTTTAAATAATGATAAAGTGCAAAATACTGAAGTTTTTTTCTAATAATTCAATTAAAAAAAAACTTTGAGACATAAATAATTTCTCAAATCTAAAACAGAACAAAAATTGTTATCAGGACAGTTTTAATGGATCAGAATTTTATTCACAACAATCCTTGGCCTTCTTTTAATCCTTACTAATAAATTTATAAAATGGTTGGTACTTAGAGAACAAAGAACAAAGAACATGCAATGCTTTGAAATGATAATAAAATTGCACCATATAAGGTCGAGTACAGTAACACCCAGCAGACGACAGCACCATATAAGGTTGAGTACATCACACCCAGCAGATCAGCAGACAGTAACACCCAGCAGACAACAATTTTGATTTATGTTGAAGATAAGATTTGTATTGTTTGTAGTTTTACAAGTTTATCATACAGATATCATAACTAAACATGAGTGTCTTTTATTTAACACTTTAAACAATAATTCTGATAAAAGGATGTTTAAATATTTCTACTTCAAATGTGAAGATCACATGTTTTAAACTGTATTGCATAATAATAATATAATTATTTCAGATAAGAAAAAAAATTTAAAAGATTGTCACTATGTTGACAAGGTTTTAATCAAATTCAATGATACATGTAGCTAGTTACAAAAAATCTAAGAACCCTTAGAGTATCATTAATGATCGAGATACAAAAATAAAGTGGTATTAGCCTGAAAGACAGTATTAAACTGTCAGCCCTTGGTAGTTATATAAAGAAATAGAAAGAATAAGAATGAGAACAAATGTACAAGAGAAATTATAATTATAGCAAATTACATGCTACTAAAAGAGGTACTGCCCCTATTAGCATGGTTTAAAGTGTATTCTTTAAATCATGTTCCCTCACAAATCTAAGGATTTCAGGAAATAAATAAAAAAACTTCCAAGAAATAAATTTTAGCAATCATTCCCTTTTTCACAGAATTGAAATTTCCAATCCAGCAAACATGAACAGTACATATGTTTTACAAAAATATACAATACCATTTTATATTAGATAATTACATTTATAATCCTGTCAGACTATTTATTTTGTCCCTTTCTTATTAAACAATATGGCATGCTTGAGTTAATTTACTTGGCTTAATTTCATAATTTTTAATCTGACAAGAGATTAAGATTTAATACATGTTAAATAAGTCAAAATTAAATTAGTAAATTCACAGTATAAGATGTAAACAGAAGACAAAGTGTCCAGATTTTTTATGTAAAATATGGAGATGTGGTATTATTGCCAATGAGATAACTATCTACCTGAGACCATTTATATTTTAATTTATGGTTTTGCAACTGATTTTTTTTTGGCTGTCCTCTCATAATTTTCGAGCTATTTTTAAAGTACTGTAGTGTATTGTATAAAACATATACTGAACATCTTGCCATGTAATTAATAAATTTAAGAATATAATATATATTTTATTCAGTATCTTTCTTCTAACTTCAAATGTGAAACCATTAATGATCCTCATACAATAATTATAGATTATCGTTGGTCATCTCAACGAGATTGATTTTCTCGCTTGAGCCAGTACGGCGAAAGTGAGAAAAGTAATCGAGTTGAGATGACCAATTTGATGATAATCTGTTTATCACTATTTTACCTATGACGACGTTGTTAATTTCATTGACGACGGCACATGTTCCCTTAGTTTCTAGCGATAATTTTTCATATCACTCGACTCTGCTGAGAAAGGAAATTATCAGTCAGCAAGATCAAAGGAAAATTTCGTAAAATAGCGATAATGACAATTCCTGCATCTTAAACTTGAACATTACAAAATACATCATCCTCATCATGCATTTAAGCTTTAATAGAACAAATTTGAAAAATAATAATAATTCTTACTTCAAATGGTACTGAAAATATTCACTGTTTTCTATAGAAGCCATTAGCCAGCTAAATACATGTAGCTTTTTTCTCAACATTTTGAACATCTACTTTTTCTGTTATAAAGTTATCAATTAAAAAATCTCAAAAGCTGCATCTAATTTATATTTCCAAGGAACAAAAAATATAATAACAGGATAAAGATTTCTCAGAAGCAATAAAATTACCTTCCAATATGACTAATTTATTCCTATGAAAACAATACGTCATAATTAATATTTCTTAGAAACATTTACATGATTATTACCTTAAAATATGACTAGAATACTCTGGTAATCTTTCTATAAATCCCACACTTTTGATTAGATTAGTTAGGTTATGTTGGATCGGAACGCCTGTTGTGGTATCAGTCAAACTTAAATGCATCCGCAATTTCTGATCGCTTTTTTCCATCATCTCATTTATACACTTCGGAAATCTTATTTTCACAAATCCGTTAGTATTCATAATTGATTTTTGATGCAATTGACAACACGACACGAGAAGAGAGTATTAACAACCTAATCACTAGACATGGATCACAAAAATATGTAGCATCGATTTCATCAGTTAAGGTGAACCACAAATTGTATTTAAGTGTACATGTTCAACAAATTACAAATTTCCTATGCTACAGACATGTATGGACAAAAAACTTGTCACACAATCATGTTTCCATGAAACGACAATTATTCCTCAATAAATCCACAGTTAAATTAAAACAATCTTTACCATTTCTAAAATCCAAAACACTAGATAAATTCAACAACATCTGTTGTCAATTCTAACAGACACTTAATCATGTACATAGATGACTTAAGGACTGGTTGTCAGAAATAACAAAGTTCCTGTGTTCCTATAGAATGATTGAACAATGAACATGTATTCCAAAGCACATTATTTTTTTGACATTTTTTCAAGTCTAACTGCATCCAAAAATAAAATCCCAAGCTGTTTCTGAAGGTCCCTTTTCTTTCTATTAAGTTCACTATAACTTTTCAGTTATACCATGGATTTGGCAAAGTACAATATACACTTGATGACACCAGAATTGAAACAAGTTTATCAAAATCCCACAAAATTCTTCAAACCTGTGACACAAGAACAGAACAAGTTTATGACTGTTATTGAAGTACAATATATCATCCAAGACGTCAGGATTAAATTGAACTTAATCTCAACTTTTCTTTACCTCTCAAATTTCTATTCTAATCAGCACGTTTTTAAACAAGCACTTTATTAATCCTCAACTGTATTAGTTAATAATTGAAATCCATTAATCCTACCCATTTTGACAGTTAATAACTCCATGTAGACTTCCCGTCACTGATTTATACATTTCCCCTAGCCCTGCTTTACTTAGAGACTTTTAAAAGGCCTTGGTATCTACCGATGTTAAATGCATCATAAAAACAACGAACATTTAAATCCTATTTTCTACCGAACAATAACGCTAATTCACCCCATTCACGTTATCACTGTTGGAGCAAAATTGATTTCTTTCATCGAATATAATCCCTCTTTTATATACTCTATATCAAATAAATTTGTAGACTTCATATTTCTTTCTTCTAATAAAATGTTCTTTTATCCCATGTTTGAATCTATGCATTATACAACCGGACAAAAGCATTACAAAGACGAGTTTTACATGTAATGTTCTCTGATCTCTCGTCAAGCATATTGATCTCAAAATTTGATTTGAAATAACAATGTGTTGAAATGTTATTAATTAAATAGTTTGAATGTTATTTTAACCACACTATTTAAATTTGGACCTGTGAGTTAATTGTACTTTTTTATTTGCTTGCTTTGAGCAAGGAAATTTATAATTCTCTTAGCTAGAGTCTATACCAATTATTTTTTTGTAAAACAGAAAGCATACATAAAAATTTCTTTTAAAATTATGATGTATGCCATAGTATTTCTGTGATAAGACTAACATAAATTTAAAAGATGTGATGTATTGCAAAGTTGATATCTTACAAATCATAAATTGATCTTAATGACATTGACTTTCACATTAAAATCTATTCACTTTATATTTGTCATATACATACATGTACATCACACTTGGTTATGATCCTGATCAAAAATCTTCAGAAGGATTCAAACAAAAGGAGCACTTACACTTTGTTTAGTGAATTCGTAAGTAAAATCTGAATCCGATTCCTTGTTCGTTGGAATCAGATCCAGATTTACTTACCTACCATGTTGCAGTCTCATGTAATCTCTCCTTGAGATTTGCATCCCTGAGCAAATTTTGGCTCGGGATTCCCAGTGTGACCATATATCTATGGGTATTTTGAATACATACATGTATGTATGACATAGTAAAATGCAAACTTGTGACAAAAACAACATCAGGAAAGAAATACAACTTTTTGTGAAATGACATTTCAGTAGGCTTCAAGACATCCATTGCAAAGAAAATTGTAACATGTTTGTTCCCATAACAAATTTTTGAAATCAAAATAACTCAAAATTAATATTAAGAAGACGGTCTTGTTAATTTGGTAAATGTTATAATAAATAACAGAATTTCAGGAAAGTTTATGTATTTTACCATATTTTTATTGAAAGTGGCATTTATGATATTATCATTTATTTTCTTTTCCTACTTTAATATTAAGTGCATATATGTAAAAATAATAAAAAAAATTAACAAATTAACACACAGAGATATCTCTCGCTTTTTGAAACTTTAACAGTGAAATGCAATGTTGAAATTAAATTGGCAATATCTAAAACATGTTGTAACAAATAAACAGTCACAGAGATATTATAGCTTGCTTTTTGTAATTTGGATAGTAAAATGCAAATGCAGAAATCAAAATGGCAATATTTAAACATGTAAACTATACAAAACATTCATGTATCATTGTCATTTTGCTTAGTTTCTTTTGTTACCAATTCTGACATCGGACTCAGACTTCTTTTAAACTGAGTTTTACTGTGCGTATCATTGCGTGTTTCTTTATTCTACGTTGGCCAGAGGTATAGGGGGAGGGTTGAGATCTCACAAAACATGTTTAACTTCACCGCACTTTTATGCCTGTCCCAAGTCAGGAGCCTCTGGCCTTTGTTAGTCTTGTATGTTTTGTTAATTTTAGTTCATTTATATGTTTTGGAGTTTAGTATGACGACCATTTTTCCTGAACTAGTACACATTTTTATTTATGGGTCAGCTGAGGACCACCTTCGGGTGTGGGATTTTCTCGCTGTGTTGAAGACCCATTGGTGGCTTGCAGCTGTTATCTGCTCTTTGGCTGGGTTGTTGTCTCTTTGACATATTCCCCATTTCCATTCTCAATTTTAAAGTCAATGAAAAATGACTGCAGGTGCGGGCCAAATAAACTCCATGGAAATGAGAAATGCCAATGCTTATAAAACTGCATATCAAATAAACCACTGACATATCATAAGTGGTTCCCTTCAAACTAACTTAAACACAATCTTTAACTTGTAAAATATATATAATTGCAAAAGTTTTAAAGTCAATGAACCATGATCAAAGGGTGGGGCCATATAATCTCCATGAAGGTGGAAGAGAGACTTGCAAATGCTTATACAAAGTACCTGTTCTGCATAACAACTATCATTGACTTAATATTAGTGCTTAATCTAAAACTGATAAAATCATTGATAATCACAAACTTTAAAATGTAAAATATGCACAATATTCAAAGTCTGACAATAGACCATGACTGAAGGGGAGGAGCCAAATAGTCTCCATGTAAATGAGACGTTTCAATGCTAATATATCTGCATACCAAATATCATTGACATATAAACCACTAGTAGATATTGGTATTCCAATTCTTACTAGGAGGATTCTGGATTCTACTGAATTCCAATTTGTACTGTAACATACATCTAAGATTAGAATAGTATTTTTCATACCATACAGCTAATACATGTATAAATTATGTAAAATGAATGTAAACTCAATTGTAAATTTATACATACACATGTACATATATATGAAATAGGTAATATATGGCCAATACATGTATTCTAAAATCATTACAGCTAATACTATTAATACTGTATATTATACTTTTTTCACTGCAGTGTATTGAACTATTATTTTATGTTTCTTTTAATCACTCTGTAATGTTTATGTCATTTTGTTATTAATATTATGCTCTTAATGGGCCCTTTAATTTGGAAAAATAAAAATATTGTATTGTATTGTATTTAAGTTCATGAATTTCACAGTTAGCATATATTTCACAAAAATAATAAAATGCTTCGCTGGGGCACAGCTTGATACGACCGCAGAGGTCGAACCCTGAACAGTTGGGGCAAGTATGGACACAACATTCAAGCTTGATACAGCTCTGAATTTGGATTGTTATTAAATATTTGACACAGCATAGGTTTCTGACACAGAAAGAATGTGGTCTAAGAACTTGAATTTTTTTAATATACCTATTATGGTCCAATGTCCAAAATCAAAATTCATGGTTAGATTCAGCATATCAAAGAACCCCATATATTCAATTTTTGTTGAAATCAAAAAAAGTTTTATTTGACCCCAACTTGGGCCAACTTGAAAACTGGGCCCATAATCAAAAATCTAAATACATGTTTAGATTCAGCATATCGAAGAACCCCAAGAATTCAATTTTTGTTAAAATCAATCTAAGTTTAATTTTGGACCCTTTGGACCTCAATGAAGACCAATTTAAAAAACGGGACCCAAATTAAAAATCTAAAAACACGGTTAGATTTGGCATATCAAAGAACCCCAATAATTCAATTTTTGATGAAATCAAACAAAGTTTAATTTTGGACCCTTTTGACCTCAATATGAACCAATTTGATAGCGGGGCCCACAAATAAAAAATCTAAATACATGTTTCGATTCAGCATATCAAATTAAAGAACCTCATATATTCAATTTTTGTTGAAATCAAACAAAGTTTAATTTTGGACCCCAATTTGGACCAACTTGAAAACTGGGCCCATAATCAAAAATCTAAATACATGTTTAGATTCAGCATATCAAAGAACCCCATATATTCAATTTTTGTTGAAATCAAACAAAGTTTAAATACTGGACCCTATCTTGGACCAACTTGAAAACTGGGCCCATAATCAAAAATCTAAACACATGTTTAGATTCAGCATATCAAAGAACCCCAAGAATTCAATTTTTGTTAAAATCAAACTAAGTTTAATTTTGGACCCTTTGGACCTTAATGTAGAGCAATTTAAAAAACAGGACCCAAAATTAAAAATCTAAATACACGGTTAGATTTGGAATATCAAAGAACCCCAATAATTCAATTTTAGATGAAATCAAACAAAGTTTAATTTTGGACCCTTTTGACCTCAATATGAACCAATTTGATAACGGGGTCCACAAATAAAAAATCTAAATACATGGTTAGATTCAGCATATCAAAGAACCCCATATATTCAATTTTTGTTGAAATCAAACAAAGTTTAATTTTGGACCCCAATTTGGACCAACTTGAAAACTGGGCCAAATATCAAAAATCTAAATACATGTTTAGATTCAGCATATCAAAGAACCTCATATATTCAATTTTTGCTAAAATCAAAGTTAAATTTTGGACCCTTTGGACCTTAATGTAGACCAATTTGAAAACTGGACCCAAAATTAAAAATCTAAATACACTGTTAGATTCGGCATAACAAATAAATAAATGTGATCAAAGATTTTACAAATCTAATGCGCCATACTGTGCAATTAAAGATTACTTCTTGAAATTTTTCAATATTTGAAATTTGAAAAAAAAATAATATTTGAAGAATAATTCTTTTTAATTTCTGAAATCTGAAATGAGAAAAAATTGACCCCCCACAATTTCTTTTTATCCCCCCCCCCCTCTTTTTTCCCCCAAAAAATTCTTTCCCTCAAGATATGGTCATAATCTCGATTCAAATTTCCAATGGAGTTGGCAACCATAATTACCCATTTAAATTTACCATAGGTCTAACTTAATCTATTTTATAATAGAATTAAAAATATAGTGTCAAATCTTTCATATGGATTTTTTGGTTTAAAAAAAAAGATGCAACATTTGCAGATATTTTTACTGGTCTTCCTTTATAAATATGCATTTCTTTAAACATAATTTAAAAGCAGTGTAAGGGAAGTAACCAAAACGTTGTATTTGGATTACCTCCCTTACACTGTTTTAAATTATCTTTATTGTTCATTAACCATTACTTTATACATAATTTAAAAGCAGTGTAAGGGAGATAATTTCAATGATGTATTTGATTTATCTCCCTTACACTGCTTTAAATTATGTTTTGTACTAAAGTATTTGTCCATTAACCAGGGCAACCTTGTTTTTCCCCCTTTTTTGCCCCTAATTCCTAAACGGTTTGAGCCATAACCCCCCAAAGCAAATCCTAACCATCCCTTTGTGGTATGGAAACTTGCAGTATAATTTCAGAGAGATCCATACACCGTTCCACAGTTATTGTCTGGAAACTAGAAAATGCTTATTTTTGGCCCCTTATTCCTTAACTGTTGGTACCATAACCCCCAAAATCAATCCCAACCTTCCTTTTGTGGTATTTAACCTTATGGTCAAATTTCTAAAAGATCCATTCACTTAAACTAAAGTTAGAGTGCGAAAACCAATGTGTCTTCGGACGACGACGACGACGACGCCAACGTCATAGCAATATCCGACCACAAAATTTTTTTGC